GACATAATCCAGAAAATGTGATGCACAAAATATTAATCCCAAAACTTGACCTCATTTAAGCACAGAAATTTCACAACTTCAGCACATGAAATTTCTAGTTCAACTCACTACTGTATTTATTTCTCTCTTCTGTTATATAATTTAAACTGCAGCAGCCTAATTTCTTATGCTTATTCTGTAGTTTTACTTATCTTTAAACTCTATTTCACAACCTTAACTTAAAATTTAGAATCACACTTACCATGCACTTTCTTCAAAATCTTGAACTTGGCAAAATTCTTCAATATTCCCCCAGTTTGCCCAGCCTATCTGCACCGTCCTTCTCCTTCTCCTTCTCCTTTTGTCCAGCTATAGGCAAAAATACAAGAAGGTAGCTAATTTAGTGATATGGTTCAAGAGGTCCCTGTCAAGTGGGTCTTAAATGCTCCCCACTTGACCCAGTTCTCTTCCAACCACCTGTTATTTCTTTTAACAGGTTGTTGACAGCTGGACTACACTAAAATCTCCTTAAGATAGACACTAGGACTGCAGTTTATTAAAATAACATGCAATTCCATAATTAACAAATATTATAGATTAGTCCTTAATTCTAGATGAGATAAAGGACTCTAACTTTAGACTTACTGCAAATTGGGACCAATTTTCTTTAACTAATTGCAAATAAGGATTGGAATATGACAAACAATCTGGATCAGATTTTACACATTTGATGAAAATGAACAAAAATAAATAAGGAAACAGTACCATCACCAGAATGATAATTCGCCAGCTCTTGTGAGGTAGATGCCATCCGTTCAACAGCTGCATTCATCTATATTATAATAAAATACTTTATAAAGAAGTTACAATCAAGCACAAGATAGAATGCAATGAATATTTGCCTCTTGAAAGAAACTGATGAAAATGGAAAAATCAAGATTAAAAAGCATTACTTTCGTATGAAATTTTGGGTTTGTCTACGTATTTATGCCACCCACATGAGTACAGTCAGAAGCATGATGATGGTACATAAAGTAGATAACAAATAGCAATGCATGTCAATGAAGAGATGATAGAAACTGCTACAGTCACATATGTGCTAGCATGCATGCAAACAAGAGTCACAATGCTGAATAGGAGTAAAAATTAATTTCACTTTCTGGAATCAATCAAGACAAAGGAATATCATTGGTTACTGTTATACAAGACTCTTCATGGTCAAAGTTAACCTCTAGACAACTATCATTGAAATTAACCATAGCTGATAGCACGTATTGATATGTTCACCATAATTAATGTTCTAATTGCAAGCAGACATAATAGTTTTTATTTCCAATAATTATAACCATAAAGCATATGTACTACATTGTCTAGTGAATTTCTCTTTTAGCAATGTCAAGGAAATAGACAAGTATGTCCCAACTCAGTTTTGATCAAATTGCAGAAGATATTTTCAATATCATACCTGCAAATTTCTAGCTGACAGGCTGTCATTCATGGCTGAAAGCTATCCATTGATAATAGATGTTGCAGCAGTGAACATCTCCCCTGGATCAAAGCTGAAGCTTGTCTTGTCAGCATATCAAATTGCAGAAGATATTTTCAATATCATACCTGCAAATTTCTAGCTGACAGGCTGTCATTCATGGCTGAAAGCTATCCATTGACAGTAGATGTTGCAGCAGTGAACATCTCCCCTGGATCAAAGCTGAAGCTTGTCCTGTCAGCATATCAAATTGGGACTGTAAATCAGTGTTGTCAAGAGCGTCCGCTTTAACCGCTTAAGCGGTAAAGCGGAGCGGTCTGCACCTCTGGCGCTTCAGTAATTAGTGAAGCGCCAGACTTTAGTGAAGCGGGAGTGAAGCGCCCGCTTCACTGCTTAAGCGCCCAAAGCGTGAAGCGCCCAAAGCGTTGGCTTTTTCTTTTTTGTTCAATTTGACAAAATTATCCAATTTAACCTTAAAATTTAAGGGTAAAATGGTACTTTAACATTTTTTTCCCCTAAATAAAACCCTAAAACATCTAAAATTGGATATGAATCAGTCCCGACACTACCGCTGCTGCTTCTTCTTCTTCTTTTTCCTTCAAGATCCAGCATCTTTCTTCAAGATCGACCCTGTGACAAGAAAGATCCACATTTTCTTCTCTTCTTTTTTGCTTTCTTCAAGTTTGATTCTCTCATTTCTTCCAAGTTCCAACGTTCTTTCCTTTTTTTCTTATTTTTTTTCTTTGTTTTTTCCCCTACTTCTGCACTTGCTGTGTTTCCTTTTGCAAATGGAAACAACTTCATCTAGGTCCAGTAATAAGAAAGATCCTGGTTGGAAATATAATTCTTTGAAGGATCCTAGTAAACCCAATTATGTTACCTGCAATTTTTGCAATAAAACAACTACTGGGGGAATCAATCGAGCAAAGCAACATCAGATGGGGCGTTTGGGTAATGCTACAGTTTGTCCAAAAGTCCCACAAGAGGTTAAGGAAGAGCTGTGGAATTATTACAACGAGAAAAAGTCTCAAAAATCCACCGGCTCCTTAGGTTCTTTTCAGATGTTTAATTATTTAGAAGATTGTAGAATCGGTGATGATGATTTGGATGAGGTTGAGTTAGTTGAGTTTAATGCAAGTGGTAAACGGTTGTTGACTGCAAAATTTGGGGCTATAATGCAGGGTAATGGGAAGAAAACCAAAGGCCCGATGGATTTGTTTTTGATGAAACCAGAAACTATAGTTCAAAAAAGAAAAGAAAGCAAAATGAGGCAAATGAGTATAAAAGATAGTGATCCAGAAGCAAGAGCTAGGACAGTTCAGTATATAGCTAGATTTTTTTATCAAGCTGGGATCCCATTTAATGTAGCACGTTTAGATAGCTTCAAATATATGGTAGAAGCTATTGGGAGGTATGGTCCAAATTTAAAGCCTCCTAGTTATCATGAGTTGCGGGTTCCATTGTTGAAAAAGGAATTGCAGCTTACAAATGATATGCTAGAGGATCACAAGAAGAAATGGGCAAAGTATGGTTGCTCAATTATGTCTGATGGTTGGACAGATAGAAGACAAAGAAGTATAATTAACTTTTTGGTGAACTGTCCAGCAGGCACAATGTTTGTAGAATCTGTTGATGCATCTTCTTACATGAAAACAGGGGATAGATTGTATGAGTTACTTGATGCTTTTGTGGAGAGAATTGGAGAGAAAAATGTCATTCAAGTGGTCACTGACAATGGCAGCAATTATGTCTTGGCAGGCAAATTGCTACAAGCTAAAAGAAAGAATTTGTTTTGGACTCCATGTGCAGCACATTGTGTGGATCTCATTTTAGAGGATATTGGAAAGCTGCCAATTATAAAAAGAACCTTAGAGAGAGCCATTTTTCTAGTTGGGTTTATATACAACCACACCTCTGCCTTAAGTTTGATGAGAACTTTCACAAAAAAGAAAGAATTAGTTAGGCATGGGGTCACTAGGTTTGCTACAACCTATCTTACTTTGGAAAGGGTTCACAAGCAAAAGCTTAACCTTAGAAAGATGTTCACATCAGATGAGTGAATGAAAAGCAAGTTTTACAAAGAAGCTAAGGGTAAAAGGGCTACTGATGTTATCTTGATGCCTTCTTTTTGGAATGAGATTGTGTATGCCCTTAAAGTTATGGGTCCTTTAGTGGGTGTTCTTCGCCTAGTTGATAATAAAAAAAAAACCAGCAATGGGTTATATCTATGAAGCAGTGAATAGGGCCAAGGAAGCCATTCAAAAGGCCTTTGATGGGAATGAAGAAAAGTATAAGAATGTATTTTCTCTTATAGATAAGAGATGGGAAAATCAGCTTCATCATCCTTTGCATGTTGCTGGTCATTTTTTGAACCCTCAATTCTTTTATAATGACCTAAGCATTGCAACAAATAAAGAGATTGTGAGGGGCTTATATGATTGTATTGAAAAGTTAATTCCAAATCATGATGATCAAGACAAAATCATAGATTAATTGCACTTGTACAAAGAAGTTGAGGGGATGTTTGCTGATCCCATGGTAGTGCGGTCCAGGAGCAAAAGAGCACCTGGTAAGCAAAATGTAGAAAGTTGGGTACTGATTTTTTTTTCTAATTTTGATTTGTTAGTTCTTGTTTTTTTGAAAGAAATTTATGTATTATTTGTGAATTAATCATTCTCATAATGATGATTTGCTTGCCTTGCTTATGTCTTGAAGCTCAATGGTGGAGTTCATATGGAATGGAAACTCCAGAGTTGATGAGCTTGGCCACTCGAATTTTGAGTTTAACTTGTAGTGCTGCTGGTTGTGAGAGAAACTGGAGTGTTTTTGAGCAAGTAAGTATTTTCTCTACTTGTTGGTTTAGGGACTGTTTTTATTTAATTGTTTTGTATTTCTTTTTCAATTCTTGTAACTTATAAGTGAAGTTTTAGTTATCAATAAAGTTTTATTATGGTGGCCAAAATAATAATTATAATTAACAAAGTATTTAATTGTTAAACAATCTTGATAAGCATTAGGAGTGTATTTTACTTAAAAAATAAAAAAATAATAAAAAAATAAAAAAGAGAAGAAGAAGAAGAAATAGAACTGTCAATTTATTATTTGTTCTTTCTTTATATTTTCAAAACAACAGTAAGTTTAAGGAAACAAATTAAAGATCCCAAATTCCACACATTCATGTCGAAATGTGGAGATGAATGCAAAAGAGAACCTTTTAAGTTATATTATATTATATATAATAAAATATAATGACCACATTTAATAATACTTAAAGTTATTAATGAAAAAAATTGAAATTACTTAGTCACTCCTCAATTATAGTGAAATCTAGTGATCAAATATTCTCATCGTGATTAATAAGTAGGTTTGCTTCCATTTTTTGTCAAATTATTATAGTTTCATTGATTAAACAAGTTTACAACATTTTTTAAACGAAATCTAGAGAATGCCAACTATTTGGGCACACTATTTACCTACCCCCCAGAAAAATGTTATTGGGGCACCTGAATTAGATGGAACCCTATTGTTAAATAATTTCTTCTCCTACTCCACTGAGCAGTTTTGCAGGTCAAGATATTTTTTGCACACTGCCACACCCAATCCATATATGCATCATAGAGTCATAATTATTTCCAGCACCAAATTCTTTATTGAAAGAGTATCTCACCCTTATCTATGACTTTTAAGTATTAACCCACATCCTCATCCAAAAGTACCAGGAATGGAGATAAACTACAACTGCTACTGCAAACACTTCAATAAGTACTCACCTTTACTCATTTCTCATACCAAAAACCCGAATACAAAATGAGAAATTTTGACTCTCTCAAGTTCAAGTTCATTACCTAGACATACTTATCTTGTTTTTCTACATGTTGATTTAGGGACTGTTTTTGTTTTTATTTAATTGTTCTGTCATTACAATATTTCACATGCAATTTCAATTCTAATTGGACTGATTCATAATTTCAATTCTAATTATAATTTAATTCCATAATCTATTTTAATTGGACAGATTCATAGCAAGAAGAGAAACAGACTTGAGCATAAGAAAATGCAAGATCTTGTATTTGTTAAGTATAATCAAGCTCTTAAAGCTCGATATAATAGCAAGGATGAAATTGATCCAATCTTCCTTGACTATATTGATGATAGTAATGAATGGTTGATTGGAAAAATGGGTGGTGACCAAGATGATGCTGAAAATGAATTTGTTTTTGGTGATGATGACTTGACTTGGGGAGAGGTAGCTAGAGCTTCTGGTGCTGAAGAGCCTAGAAAATATACTAGAAGAATTTTTGGTAGACAATCAGCACTAAAACCTTCAAGTTCTAAAGGAAAAGCTGTTGTACAAGAAATTGAAGAAGAAGAGGCTGATACAGAGGAATCAGAGGAAGAGATTGAGGATTATCACTCAAGTGATGGAGATGACAGCAGTGATGATGATGAGATGAATGTAGTTGATGAGGATGACATAGATGCAGATGATTTATCTTAGATTTTGGAATGATATTATGCTGTTTTTTACTTTCTGCACTATTTTAATTTCTTGACTATTATGCTTACATGCACTGCTAGTTTTCTGTTTTGAATTTCTGATAATTGATGTTATGAACTTTAAAATCTGTTTTATTAATATATCATGTTTTGAGTACATTTTGAAAAGGTTTAGGTTATTACATAATCATCTTTTTGTATTGTCCGCTTCACTTCGGTGAAGCGTCCGCTTCGCTTTCCACTTCGCTTTCCGCTTCACCGCTTAAGCCTTTTGAAGGGCTGGCGCTTTAAAGCGCTTTACGCTTTTGACAACACTGTTCTTGACTATTATGCTTACATGCACTCTTAGTTTTTTGTTCTGAATTTTTGATAATTGATGTTATGAACTTTAAAATCTGTTTTATTAATATATCATGTTTTGAGTACATTTTGAAAATGTTTAAGTTATTACATAATTATCTTTTTGTATTGTCTGCTTCACTTCGGTGAAGCTTCCGCTTCGCTTTCCGCTTCACCGCTTAAGCCTTTTGAAGGGCTAGCGCTTTAAAGCGCTTTACGCTTTTGACAACACTGCTGTAAATGACTAAGTTGTCTCTGCACCTCTAAAGCTTCAGCTTTATATGCTAGAGTTGCATCCCTAAATATGAAACAAATCCATTAATTTTGGAAGCTAAAAACAACCACAGTGCATCCATATTTTCATATGTGAAAGTGTAGATTGGAGGCATTTTGAGAAAAATAGAAAAAATTTCATTCACGACTCACTACAATCATGAGATCAAATAACATGCACACATTATGCTAGATACACACTGAAAAATACAGAAAAGAACTAAATGCTAATTACATACACACTAAGAATACAGAAAAGATCTCAACACTACCTATAATTTTCTTTCTTTCCCTTATACCCTCAGCTTCTCTAAACAAGTTACGGCAGGATCAATGCATTCAGAGAATTTAAAAGTATCACAAGAACAAACATAACTTGCAAAATCCTATCATTATTGTAAACCATTCTACAGATCATGAAACATAATTAACTTAACCTCAGCTTGATAGAAGAAATGTTTTAAAATCATGTGCTGAAGAAACCAAAATCTGGATCAATGAACATTACAGAATGAAATGTAATTGATGAAATGTCATACCTAACGTCCTTAAGTCCCTCTTCAGGTCCAAAAACTGCCTCCTGATCATCTCTTCTGGAAGAGAAGGCGGAAATGCTATCATAAGCGAAGTCCAAATCTACGCCCTAGTTAGATGTAAAATATCAAACATCAATCAATACCTAGCTTCTTTTAAAAATTGCAGCGAACAAAACAGAAACTTGCTTCTTTTAAAAATTGATGAAGACCAAGCATGAGGAAATTACCTCCAATAGCTTTCCTTCTTGTACAAACTGCTCATACCTGCATTAACACGTTTCAAACAAAAAGAGGCGTGAAGATCAAATTTAAATTTAGCGAAATCTCACAGTTTCTGCAACAAAATCGCA